AGGCAGAAGGTGTGTGTCTCATACCGTGTCTCCTTGCTGCTGTGGGCTAGACGTAGCAGACTGACTCTGAGGCAGAAGGTGTGTGTCTCATACCGTGTCTCCTTGCTGCTATGGGCTAGACGTAGCAGACTGACTCTGAGGCAGAAGGTGTGTGTCTCATACCGTGTCTCCTTGCTGCTGTGGGCTAGACGTAGCAGACTGACTCTGAGGCAGAAGGTGTGTGTCTCATACCGTGTCTCCTTGCTGCTGTGGGCTAGACGTAGCAGACTGACTCTGAGGCAGAAGGTGTGTGTCTCATACCGTGTCTCCTTGCTGCTGTGGGCTAGACGTAGCAGACTGACTGAGGCAGAAGGTGTGTGTCTCATACTGTGTCTCCTTGCTGCTGTGGGCTAGACGTAGCAGACTGACTCTGGGGCAGAAGGTGTGTGTCTCATACCGTGTCTCCTTGCTGCTGTGGGCTAGACGTAGCAGACTGACTGAGGCAGAAGGTGTGTGTCTCATACCGTGTCTCTTGCTGCTGTGGGCTAGACGTAGCAACGACTCTGTGAGGAGAGAAAGGGGAGAGCGCTGTTTGCTCAGAGAGTACAGATTCAGGAGGACTGTTAGGGATCTGGATAGAGGAGAGAGGGCGGAGGTGGTTGAGAGAGAGGAGAGGGAGAGAGGAGAGGGGGGAGAGAGGGGGGAGAGGAGAGAGGAGGAGAGGAAGAGGAGGGGGGAGGGAGGGAGAGGGGAGAGGAGAGGGCGGGGAGAGGAGAAGGAGGAGGGGGGAGCGAGGGAGGAGGGGGGAGAGAGAGAGAGAGCGAGGAGACGAGGGAGGGGGAGAGGGGGGAGAGAGAGAGCGAGGAGGGAGGGGGGAGAAGAGAGACGAGGAGGAGGGAGGGGGGGGAGAGAGAGAGGAGAGGAGGGGGGGGAGAGGAGGAGAGAGAGGAGGAGGGAGGAGGGAGAGGAGAGAGGGGGAGAGAGGAGGGGGGGAGGGAGGAGAAGAGGAGGGAGAGGGAGAAGAGGAGGAGAGAGGGGAGAGAGAGAGGGGGAGAGAGAGAGAGGAGAGGGGGAGAGAGAGAGAGGAGGGAGAGAGGAGGAGGGGGAGAGGAGAGCAGGAGGGAGAGAGAGAGAGAGAGAGAGAGAGAGTGGGAGAAGAGAGAGAGAGAGAGGAGTGAGGGGGAGGAGAGAGAGAGAGAGTAGGAGAGAGAGAGAGAGAGAGGGGAGAGGGAGAGAAGAAGGGATGGATGAAGGGTGGATCAGCCCATTGTCCTAGTGTGTAAAGAGAAGGGGAGGAGGTAGTGTTACCTGGAGCAGGTTGAGGGGTCTAAGGTCTGGACTGCTGCTCAAACCAAACGGACTCCCTGGAGAACACAAACACACATGATGAGACAGCTGGCTAGTGTGTCTGTGTGTTTTATACCGGTCTGTGTGGTAGGCTGCATGGTAGGCTGCATGGTAGGCAGTGTGTTTTATACCGGTCTGTGTGGTAGGCTGCATGGTAGGCAGTGTGTTTTATACCTGTCTGTGTGGTAGGCTGCATGGTAGGCAGTGTGTTTTATACCGGTCTGTGTGGTAGGCTGCATGGTAGGCAGTGTGTTTTATACCTGTCTGTGTGGTAGGCTGCATGGTAGGCAGTGTGTTTTATACCTGTCTGTGTGGTAGGCTGCATGGTAGGCATCAGTCCTCCTAGACCACTTAGGTTGAGACCAGGACCCAACATCTGACTAGAATTCATCAGAGTCTGGGGACTGCTGCACGGACACACGGAGAGACAGAGAGAGAGACACGGAGAAAGAGAGACAGAGAAAAAGAGAGAGAGAGAGACACAGAGAAAGAGAGAGAGAGACACAGAGAAAGAAAGAGAGAGACACAGAGAAAGAGAGAGAGAGACACAGAGAAAGAAAGAGAGAGACACAGAGAAAGAAAGAGACACACAGAGAGAGAGAGAGACACACAGAGAGACCCACGGCGAGAGAGAGCGAGAGAGAGAGAGGGAGAAACACACGGCCAGAGCGACATGTAGAGCGAGAAAGAGAGAGACACAGAAAAAGAGAGAGACACAGAGAAAGAGAGAAAGAGACACATGGAGAGAGCGACACACAGCAAGAGAGAGAGAGAGAGGGAGAAACACACGGCCAGAGCGACATGTAGAGAGAGACATAATGAGAGAGAGAGACACAGAGAGAGAGAGAGAAAATCCAAAGAGGTCATGAGAAATGTCTTGGTTTAAAAGACCTTAAGAGGTATATTCAATGCATTGATATTCCAGAGAAGAAGAAAATAGGTTGTATTGTATCACCCTGCAGACCTATGAGCAAGAAGAGAGAGGACACCCTGCAGACCTATGAGCAGGAAGAGAGAGGACACCCTGCAGACCTATGAGCTACGAACAGGAAGAGAGAGGACACCCTGCAGACCTATGAGCAAGAAGAGAGAGGACACCCTGCAGACCTATGAGCTACGAACAGGAAGAGAGAGGTCACCCTGCAGACCTATGAGCAAGAAGAGAGAGGACACCCTGCAGACCTATGAGCTACGACCAGGAAGAGAGAGGACACCCTGCAGACCTATGAGCAAGAAGAGAGAGGACACCCTGCAGACCTATGAGCTACGAACAGGAAGAGAGAGGTCACCCTGCAGACATATGAGCTACGAACAGGAAGAGAGAGGACACCCTGCAGACCTATGAGCAGGAAGAGAGAGGACACCATGCAGACCTATGAGCTACGAACAGGAAGAGAGAGGACACCCTGCAGACCTATGAGCAGGAAGAGAGAGGACACCCTGCAGACCTATGAGGTACGAACAGGAAGAGAGAGGTCACCCTGCAGACCTATGAGCAGGAAGAGAGAGGACACCCTGCAGACCTATGAGCTACGAACAGGAAGAGAGAGGACACCCTGCAGACCAATGAGCTACGAACAGGAAGAGAGAGGACACCCTGCAGACCTATGAGCTACGAACAGGAAGAGAGAGGACACCCTGCAGACCAATGAGCTACGAACAGGAAGAGAGAGGACACCATGCAGACCTATGAGCTACGAACAGGAAGAGAGAGGACACCCTGCAGACCTATGAGCTACGAACAGGAAGAGAGAGGACACCCTGCAGACCTATGAGCAGGAAGAGAGAGGACACCCTGCAGACCTATGAGCAGGAAGAGAGGACACCCTGCAGACCTATGAGCAGGAAGAGAGAGGACACCCTGCAGACCAATGAGCTACGAACAGGAAGAGAGAGGACACCCTGCAGACCTATGAGCTAAGAACAGGAAGAGAGAGGACACCCTGCAGACCTATGAGCAAGAAGAGAGAGGACACCCTGCAGACCTATGCGCAGGAAGAGAGAGGACACCTTGAAGACCTATGAGGTACGAACAGGAAGAGAGAGGACACCCTGCAGACCTATGAGCTACGAACAGGAAGAGAGAGGACACCCTGCAGAGCTACGAACAGGAAGAGAGAGGACACCCTGCAGACCTATGAGCAAGAAGAGAGAGGACACCCTGCAGACCTATGAGCTACGAACAGGAAGAGAGAGGTCACCCTGCAGACCTATGAGCAAGAAGAGAGAGGACACCCTGCAGACCTATGAGGTACGAACAGGAAGAGAGAGGTCACCCTGCAGACCTATGAGCAGGAAGAGAGAGGACACCCTGCAGACCTATGAGCTACGAACAGGAAGAGAGAGGACACCCTGCAGACCAATGAGCTACGAACAGGAAGAGAGAGGACACCCTGCAGACCTATGAGCTACGAACAGGAAGAGAGAGGACACCCTGCAGACCAATGAGCTACGAACAGGAAGAGAGAGGACACCATGCAGACCTATGAGCTACGAACAGGAAGAGAGAGGACACCCTGCAGACCTATGAGCTACGAACAGGAAGAGAGAGGACACCCTGCAGACCTATGAGCAGGAAGAGAGAGGACACCCTGCAGACCTATGAGCAGGAAGAGAGGACACCCTGCAGACCTATGAGCAGGAAGAGAGAGGACACCCTGCAGACCAATGAGCTACGAACAGGAAGAGAGAGGACACCCTGCAGACCTATGAGCTAAGAACAGGAAGAGAGAGGACACCCTGCAGACCTATGAGCAAGAAGAGAGAGGACACCCTGCAGACCTATGCGCAGGAAGAGAGAGGACACCTTGAAGACCTATGAGGTACGAACAGGAAGAGAGAGGACACCCTGCAGACCTATGAGCTACGAACAGGAAGAGAGAGGACACCCTGCAGAGCTACGAACAGGAAGAGAGAGGACACCCTGCAGACCTATGAGCAGGAAGAGAGAGGACACCCTGCAGACCTATGAGCAGGAAGAGAGAGGACACCCTGCAGACCAATGAGCTACGAACAGGAAGAGAGAGGACACCCTGCAGACCTATGAGCAGGAAGAGAGAGGACACCCTGCAGACCTATGAGCTACAAACAGGAAGAGAGAGGACACCCTGCAGACCTATGAGCAGGAAGAGAGAGGACACCCTGCAGACCTATGAGCAGGAAGAGAGAGGACACCCTGCAGACCTATGAGCAGGAAGAGAGAGGACACCGTGCAGACCTATGAGCAGGAAGAGAGAGGACACCCTGCAGACCTATGAGCTATGAACAGGAAGAGAGAGGACACCCTGCAGACCTATGAGCAGGAAGAGAGAGGAGAGACAGGTAGAGAACAGAGTGAAAGTGACAGTCATAGTGAGAGACAAGGCTTAGTCACATGTCTCCAGTCAGAAGCTTTACTAGACAGATACCAGTGCCTACAGAGAAACAGAACCCTTACCAGACGGATAGAGGACGTAGATCAGAGCAGTGGTTTTCAAACTTCTCCTCAGGGATCCCCAGACGTTTCACAATGTTGTTGCGGCCCTGAACTAGCTAACCTGATTAACCTAGTCAGGTTCTTGATGATTAGTTGACGATTTATATCAGGTTTGGCTAGCTCTGGAATAGATACAAATACATAGAACAGCTGGGGATCCCCGAGGAGAGGTTTAAAAACCACTAGAGTAGGTAGGTCCTTACCAGACAGATCCCACCACGTTGATGAAGTTGAGTCCAGCAGGGTTAGCCATGACCTGAGAGGAGGTGGTTCCTGTTCCCATGGTGGGGAGAGGGATGGTTATTACAGGCAGAGCCTGGGACAGGGGAAGCTGCTGCTGGGGATACGGGGCCTGGGGGGCCTGGAGGGCCTGGGGCTCCGGAGGGGCGGGGGTGACAGAGGACGGGAGGGAACAGAGGGAGAGGAGGGAGTCGGGGGGGTGAGGGGTGGAACAGGGGGTGCTGGTGGGGGTGGGCGTGGATGGTTTGGGGGTCCCCGATCCTGCGAGAGGAGAGAGGGGGTGAGGGATAAGAGAGGGAGAGAAGAGGGGGTCAGGGAGAAGAGGGGGTCAGGGAGAAGAGGGGGTTAGGAGGGAAATTACACAAACAGGTATACATTTTTACATTTTAGTCATTTTAGCAGACGCTCGTATCCAGAGCGACTTACAGTTAGTGAGTGCATACATTTTTCATACTGGCCCCCCGTGGGAATCGAACCCACAACCCTGGCGTTGCAAGCACCATGCTCTACCAACTGTGCTACAGGAGGCCTATATACTGTTACAACTTGGTTAAATAGTAAGCATTTGTAACATGTTACCAAAACCATGTACATAGGTATTACATAAAGAAGTTATTAGATACCATGAGTCTTTCTTTGTCAATGAACTATGAAAAGAAAATAAGTGCGGGACTCACTCTTATTACACATTTATTACATGTTATTACATGGTTATTACATGTTATTACATGTTATTACATGTTATTACCAGATTGTGTAAGGTAAACTGACTGACTGAACGACTGTTTGACTGACTGTTTGATTGACTGACTGACATTAAAAAATATATATATATACAGTACCAGTCAAAGGGTTTTTCTTTATTTTTACTATTTTCTACATTGTAGAATAATAGTGAAGACATCAAAACTATGAAATAAAACATATGGAATCATGTAGTAACCAGAAAAGAGTTAAACAAATCAAAATATATTTTGTATTTGAGATTCTTCAAATAGCCACCCTTTGCCTTTTGACTGGTATATATATACAGTGGGGAGAACAAGTATTTGATACACTGACGATTTTGCAGGTTTTCCTACTTACAAAGCATGTAGTCTGTAATTTTTCATCATAGGTACACTTCAACTGTGAGACACGGAATCTAAAACAAAAATCCAGAAAATCACATTGTATGATTTTTAAGTAATTAATTTGCATTTTATTGCATGACATAAGTATTTGATACATCAGAAAAGCAGAACTTAATATTTGGAACAGAAACCTTTGTTTGCAATTACAGAGATCATACGTTTCCTGTAGGTCTTGACCAGGTTTGCACACACTGCAGCAGGGATTTTGGCCCACTCCTCCATACAGACCTTCTCCAGATCCTTCAGGTTTCGGGGCTGTCGCTGGGCAATACGGACTTTCAGCTCCCTCCAAAGATGTTCTATTGGGTTCAGGTCTGGAGACTGGCTAGGCCACTCCAGGACCTTGAGATGCTTCTTACGGAGCCACTCCTTAGTTGCCCTGGCTGTGTGTTTCGGGTCGTTGTCATGCTGGAAGACCCAGCCACGACCCATCTTCAATGCTCTTACTGAGGGAAGGAGGTTGTTGGCCAAGATCTCGCGATACATGGCCCCATCCATCCTCCCCTCAATACGGTGCAGTCGTCCTGTCCCCTTTGCAGAAAAGCATCCCCAAAGAATGATGTTTCCACCTCCATGCTTCACGGTTGGGATGGTGTTCTTGGGGTTGTACTCATCCTTCTTCTTCCTCCAAATACGGTGAGTGGAGTTTAGACCAAAAAGCTCTATTTTTGTCTCATCAGACCACATGACCTTCTCCCATTCCTCCTCTGGATCATCCAGATCCAGACGGGCCTGGACATGCGCTGGCTTGAGCAGGGGGACCTTGCGCGCGCTGCAGGATTTAATTCAACTGAGACTGCTCTTCTCTGTGTCACGGAGGCTCTCCGCACTGCTAAAGCTAACTCTCTCTATTCTGCTCTTGTCCTTCTAGACCTGTCTGCTGCCTTTGATACTGTGAACCATCAGATCCTCCTCTCCACCCTCTCCGAGCTGGGCATCTCCGGCGCGGCTCACTCTTGGATTGCGTCCTACCTGACCGGTCGCTCCTACCAAGTGGCGTGGCGAGAATCTGTCTCCGCACCACGTGCTCTCACCACTGGTGTCCCCCAGGGCTCAGTTTTAGGCCCTCTCCTATTCTCGCTATACACCAAGTCACTTGGCTCTGTCATATCCTCACATGGCCTCTCCTATCATTGCTACGCAGATGACACACAACTAATCTTCTCCTTTCCCCCTTCTGATAACCAGGTGGCGAATCGCATCTCTGCATGTCTGGCAGACATATCAGTGTGGATGACGGATCACCACCTCAAGCTGAACCTCGGCAAGACGGAGCTGCTCTTCCTCCCGGGGAAGGACTGCCCGTTCCATGATCTCGCCATCACGATTGACAACTCCGTTGTGTCCTCCTCCCAGAGTGCGAAGAGCCTTGGCGTGACCCTGGATAACACCCTGTCGTTCTACGCTAACATCAAGGCGGTGACCAGATCCTGTAGGTTCATGCTCTACAACATTCGGAGAGTACGACCCTGCCTTACACAGGAAGCGGCACAGGTCCTAATCCAGGCACTTGTCATCTCCCGTCTGGATTACTGCAACTCGCTGTTGGCTGGGCTCCCTGCCTGTGCCATTAAACCCCTACAACTCATCCAGAATGCCGCAGCCCGTCTGGTGTTCAACCTTCCCAAGTTCTCTCACGTCACCCCGCTCCTCCGCACACTCCACTGGCTTCCAGTTGAAGCTCGCATCTGCTACAAGACCATGGTGCTTGCCTACGGAGCTGTGAGGGGAACGGCACCTCCTTACCTTCAGGCTCTGATCAGTCCCTACACCCAAACGAGGGCATTGCGTTCATCCACCTCTGGCCTGCTGGCCCCCCTACCTCTGCGGAAGCACAGTTCCCGCTCAGCCCAGTCAAAACTGTTCGCTGTTCTGGCACCCCAATGGTGGAACAAGCTCCCTCACGACGCCAGGACAGCGGAGTCACTCACCACCTTCCGGAGACACTTGAAACCCCACCTCTTTAAGGACTACCTGGGATAGGATAAAGTAATCCTTCTACCCCCCCCAAAAAAATAAAATAAAAATAAACATATTGTAAAGTGTTATCCCACTGGCTATAAGGTGACTGCACCAATTTGTAAGTCGCTCTGGATAAGAGCGTCTGCTAAATGACGTAAATGTAAATGTAATTCCATGACGGCGTAGTGTGTTACTAATGGTTTTCTTTGAGACTGTGGTCCCAGCTCTCTTCAGGTCATTGACCAGGTCCTGCCGTGTAGTTCTGGGCTGATCCCTCACCTTCCTCATGATCATTGATGCCACACGAGGTGAGATCTTGCATGGAGCCCCAGACCGAGGGTGATTGACCGTCATCTTGAACTTCTTCCATTTTCTAATAATTGCACCAACAGTTGTTGCCTTCTCACCAAGCTGCTTGCCTATTGTCCTGTAGCCCATCCCAGCCTTGTGCAGGTCTACAATTTTATCCCTGATGTCCTTACACAGCTCTCTGGTCTTGGCCATTGTGGAGAGGTTGGAGTTTGTTTGATTGAGTGTGTGGACAGGTGTCTTTTATACAGGTAACAAGTTAAAACAGGTGCAGTTAATACAGGTAATGAGTGGAGAACAGGAGGGCTTCTTAAAGAAAAACGAACAGGTCTGTGAGAGCCGGAATTCTTACTGGTTGGTAGGTGATCAAATACGTATGTCATGCAATAAAATGCAAATTAATTACTTAAAAATGATACAATGTGATTTTCTGGATTTTTGTTTTAGATTCCGTCTCTCACAGTTGAAGTGTACCTATGATAAAACATTACAGACCTCTACATGCTTTGTAAGTAGGAAAACCTTCAAAATCGTCAGTGTATCAAATACTTGTTCTCCCCACTGTATATTATTATTATTATTATATATTTTCCTTGTTTCAGGTCAACATCATAAACAGATTGTAAATATATTTGAATTCCTAAATAATATAATATGCCATTTAGCAGACGCTTTTATCCAAAGCGACTTACAGTCATGTGTGCGTACATTTTTACACTACCCTGGCGTTACAAGCGCCATGCTCTACCAATTGAGCTACAGACGACCACAAACAAATGAAACAAACAGAAAACAAACAGTTAGAATTATAATATATAATAATAATAATACCTTCATCCTATTATCCCTTTCAGTTCTCTACTCTTCATTTTTCATTACTGAATTTTTTTCTCTCTAACTAATTTCATGAACATTTTATTATTTTGTATTTTCCTTGCATGCCTTTATTAATTTTTACTGTCGTAAAATTTGTGGCTGTAGTGTGTAAAATACAAAATGCCCCTAACGCTGTATAGAGAGAGGCCTTACAGCTATACAACTAAATCGTTATTTTATACAAGAAAGGGACCAGGGTCCAGTTGACCCATAGATTCATTGAATTTTTATATTGACACTTCTGCAAGAGGAGGGGTATGATATAGTGAAAACGGTCCCATATTGTATAGAAATCTCCATCCTTGTTCCTAAATATAGCACACATTTTCTCTAATGGTAACACTTTAAAAGATCTCACAATACCACTGATTTATTGTTGGTGGCTGGTCTTTTATCCAGTTAAGGAGAAGGCATTTGAGAGTAAACACCTTGTTATTAATAAGGGGAGTCAGAGCAGAAATGTAATCCTTTCTTCCCCAAGGTGTTTGCAAATATCTCTCCAGATCTTAAAAGGTGCTGTTAAGAATCGGGTTATGTTTTACTTCTGTGCTGACTGAGTTTCTGTCACCAGTCATAACACTGATTAATGAGTATGGAGATGTGAAACAGGAGTCATTACTGACCCAATTAGAGCAAGGTTCATCTCTGAGCCAATTAGAGCAAGGTTCATCTCTGACCCAATTAGAGCAAGGTTCATCTCTGAGCCAATTAGAGCAAGGTTCATCTCTGAGCCAATTAGAGCAAGGTTAATCTCTGAGCCAATTAGAGCAAGGTTCATCTCTGAGCCAATTAGAGCAAGGTTCATCTCTGAGCCAATTAGAGCAAGGTTCATCTCTGAGCCAATTAGAGCAAGGTTAATCTCTGAGCCAATTAGAGCAAGGTTCATCTCTGAGCCAATTAGAGCAAGGTTAATCTCTGAGCCAATTAGAGCAAGGTTCATCTCTGAGCCAATTAGAGCAAGGTTCATCTCTGAGCCATTCTGTAATTATGTGAACATGACATGCCCAGTTATTAAACAGTACATTAGTTAGCGCCAGGCCTCCTAAATGATATGGTAGCTTCAGTTTACTAACTTTCAACATTGGTCTTTTTCTGTGCCATATAAAGTCTGAGAGGTATTTCTTGAGTTCATTAAAAGTATTTTTCGTTATAATATAAAATGTGACCATCTGGAGAGGATACAGTCTGGGGAAAACATTAATTTTAATACGATTAATTCTACCCAACCATGATAATGGCAGGTCCATCCACCTGTCTAGGTCTTCCTTAACTGCCCTAAATACAGGTGCAAAGTTGCTGTTTGACAGGTTGTGAAGTTTATTTTTCACACCAAGATAAACAAAAAGATATTCACATTTATTTAGAGCTAAACCTCAAGTCAATAAGAATGGGAATAGAGGTTTCTGGGTTAGAAATCCCATCTGCATATAGAGATATAATGTGGGTTTGGTTCCAATCTTCACACCTGTAAGACTTTCCTGGGTAATAATACCAATGACAGAGGTGACAGTGGGCAGCCCTGGCCTGATTGGCTGACTGTTTGATAGACTGACTGACTGATTGATAGACTGATAGACTGTTTGATAGACTGACTGACTGATTGACTGATTGATAAACTGATTGACTGTTTGATAGACTGACTGACTGATTGATAGACTGATAGACTGTTTGATAGACTGACTGACTGTTTGATAGACTGATTGACTGTTTGATAAACTGACTGACTGTTTGATAAACTGACTGACTGTTTGATAAACTGACTGACTGTTTGATAGACTGACTGACTGTTTGATAAACTGACTGACTGTTTGATAGACTGACTGACTGTTTGATAGACTGACTGACTGTTTGATAGACTGATTGACTGTTTGATAACTGATGACTGTTTGATAGACTGATGACTGTTTGATAAAACTGACTGACTGTTTGATAGACCTGACTGTTTGATAGACTGACTGACTGTTTGATAGACTGGACTGTTTGATAGACTGATGCTGTTTGATAGACTGACTGATGTTTGATAGAATGAATTGACTGTTTGATAGATTGATTGGCTGTTTGATAGACTGATGACTGTTTGATAGACTGACTGACTGTTTGATAGAATGACTGACTGTTTGATAGACTGATGACTGTTTGATAGAATTGACTGTTTGATAGATTGATTGACTGTTTGATAGATGATGACTGTTTGATAGATGATTGACTGTTTGATAGATTGGACTGTTTGATAGAATGATTGTTGATAGATAATTGACTGTTTGATAGATTGATTGGCTGTTTGATAGAATGACTGTTTGATAGATTGATTGGCTGTTTGATAGATTGACTGTTTGATAGAATGATTGGCTGTTTGATAGATTGACTGTTTGATAGACTGATTGACTGTTTGATAGAATGACTGTTTGATAGAATGATTGACTGTTTGATAGACTGACTGACTGTTTGATAAACTGACTGACTGTTTGATAGACTGACTGACTGTTTGATAGACTGACTGACTGTTTGATAGAATAATTGACTGTTTGATAGATTGATTGACTGTTTGATAGAATGACTGTTTGATAGATTGATTGGCTGTTTGATAGATTGACTGTTTGATAGACTGATTGACTGTTTGATAGAATGACTGTTTGATAGAATGATTGACTGTTTGATAGACTGACTGACTGTTTGATAAACTGACTGACTGTTTGATAGACTGACTGACTGTTTGATAGACTGACTGACTGTTTGATAGAATAATTGACTGTTTGATAGATTGATTGACTGTTTGATAGAATGACTGTTTGATAGATTGATTGGCTGTTTGATAGATTGACTGTTTGATAGAATGATTGGCTGTTTGATAGATTGATTGGCTGTTTGATAGAATGACTGTTTGATAGACTGACTGACTGTTTGATAGACTGACTGACTGTTTGATAGAATGATTGGCTGTTTGATAGATTGACTGTTTGATAGAATGATTGACTGTTTGATAGACTGATTGACTGTTTGATAGAATGATTGGCTGTTTGATAGATTGACTGTTTGATAGACTGATTGACTGTTTGATAGAATGACTGTTTGATAGAATGATTGACTGTTTGATAGACTGACTGACTGTTTGATAAACTGACTGACTGTTTGATAGACTGACTGACTGTTTGATAGACTGACTGACTGTTTGATAGACTGATTGACTGTTTGATAAACTGACTGACTGTTTGATAGACTGATTGACTGTTTGATAAACTGACTGACTGTTTGATAGACTGACTGTTTGATAGACTGACTGACTGTTTGATAGACTGACTGACTGTTTGATAGACTGACTGACTGTTTGATAGACTGACTGACTGTTTGATAGACTGACTGACTGTTTGATAGAATAATTGACTGTTTGATAGATTGATTGGCTGTTTGATAGACTGACTGACTGTTTGATAGACTGACTGACTGTTTGATAGAATAATTGACTGTTTGATAGATTGATTGACTGTTTGATAGAATGACTGTTTGATAGATTGATTGGCTGTTTGATAGATTGACTGTTTGATAGAATGATTGGCTGTTTGATAGATTGATTGGCTGTTTGATAGAATGACTGTTTGATAGACTGACTGACTGTTTGATAGACTGACTGACTGTTTGATAGAATGATTGGCTGTTTGATAGATTGACTGTTTGATAGACTGATTGGCTGTTTGATAGACTGATTGACTGTTTGATAGAATGATTGGCTGTTTGATAGATTGACTGTTTGATAGACTGATTGACTGTTTGATAGAATGACTGTTTGATAGAATGATTGGCTGTTTGATAGATTGATTGGCTGTTTGATAGATTGATTGGCTGTTTGATAGAATGACTGACTGTTTGATAGACTGATTGGCTGTTTGATAGATTGACTGACTGTTTGATAGAATGACTGACTGTTTGATAGAATGACTGTTTGATAGAATGACTGTTTGATAGACTGACTGACTGTTTGATAGAATGACTGTTTGATAGAATGACTGTTTGATAGACTGACTGACTGTTTGATAGAATGATTGGCTGTTTGATAGAATGGCTGTTTGATAGACTGACTGACTGTTTGATAGAATGATTGGCTGTTTGATAGAATGACTGTTTGATAGACTGACTGACTGTTTGATAGAATGATTGGCTGTTTGATAGAATGGCTGTTTGATAGAATGACTGTTTGATAGACTGGTTAGGTACTCACTCTGTGTTGACCCCATGGGAGACAGGGCTGCCGGGGACAACAACCCCCCCAGCTGTAACCCCTGCCCCAGCTCCAGAGAGTGCTTCCTGCTCAGAGGCTGGGGCTTGACTGATCCGGGACCTGTTCCTGGGGGGGGCGTAGGACACGTGAGGAGACCACTGGTAGCCTGGGCTGAACTATACAGGTTACCTGGAGAGAGGGGAGGGAGAGAGGGGAGGGAGAGAGGGAGCGGGGTGAGAGAGGGGGAGGTGAGAGGAGTTAGCACCAATCAGATGTGCGATGGGGAGTGAACAACTAAAGAACCACAATTTTCTGGAATGAGATGCAGCCCCAGACCTCCAGGCAGGTTAGAGAGGGGGGGTTACCTGAGGAGCTGCTGCCCGACCCGGAGGGTAGTTTGATGGGGGGAGGCCGGTGCTTCACCCCCTTCCCCAACACGCCTGACGACTGAACCAGGGCTGATAGACCATCCGCCTGGGGACACATAACGGGCATGAGGTCAACAACAACAACAACAACAAGCTCTGTCTGTCTGTTGGGTGAGAGCTGGTTCTGTAGTGTGTGTGTGTGTGTTATGGTGTGTGTACCTCTGTCTGTCTGTTGGGTGAGAGCTGGTTCTGTAGTGTGTGTGTGTGTGTTATGGTGTGTGTATCTCTGTCTGTCTGTTGGGTGAGAGCTGGTTCTGTAGTGTGTGTGTGTGTGTTATGGTGTGTGTATCTCTGTCTGTCTGTTGGGTGAGAGCTGGTTCTGTAGTGTGTGTGTGTTATAGTGTGTGTACCTCTGTCTGTCTGTTGGGTGAGAGCTGGTTCTGTAGTGTGTGTGTGTGTGTTATGGTGTGTGTATCTCTGTCTGTCTGTTGGGTGAGAGCTGGTTCTGTAGTGTGTGTGTGTTATAGTGTGTGTACCTCTGTCTGTCTGTTGGGTGAGAGCTGGTTCTGTAGTGTGTGTGTGTGTGTGTATCTCTGTCTGTCTGTTGGGTGAGAGCTGGTTCTGTAGTGTGTGTGTGTGTGTTATAGTGTGTGTACCTCTGTCTGTCTGTTGGGTGAGAGCTGGTTCTGTCCCACGAATCCCGAGTTATGAGACATCTTCACCTGGCACTTCACGTCCGACTCATACACACCTTTATACTGAGACAGGAACCTAGGAAAAGCAATACTTTTTGTCAACAACCTACAACACAGTCAACACCCTACAACACAGTCAACAACCTACAACACAGTCAACACCCTACAACACAGTCAACAACCTACAACATAGTCAAAAACCCTACAACACAGTCAACACCCTACAACACAGTCAACAACCTACATACATAGTCAACAACCTACAACACAGTCAACAACCTACAACACAGTCAACACCCTACAACACAGTCAACACCCTACAACACAGTCAACAACCTACAACACAGTCAAACCTACAACAGTCAACACCTACAACACAGTCAACAACCTACAACGTCAACCTACAACACAGTCAACACCCTACAACACAGTCAACAACCTACACACAGTCAACAACCTACAACACAGTCAACAACCTACAACACAGTCACAACAACACCTACAACACAGTCAACAACCACATACAGTCAAACACAACAGTCAACAACCTACAACACAGTCAACACCTACAACACAGTCAACCACCCTACAACACAGTCAACACCCTACAACACAGTCAACAACCTACAACACAGTCAACAACCTACAAACAGTCAACAACACAACAACAGTCAACAACCTACAACACAGTCAACACCCTACAACACAGTCAACAACCTACAACACAGTCAACAACCTACAACACAGTCAACAACCTACAACACAGTCAACAACCTACAACACAGTCAACAACCTACAACACAGTCAACAACCTACAACACAGTCAACACCCTACAACACAGTCAACACCCTACAACACAGTCAACACCTACAGTACAGTCAACAACCTACAGTACAGTCAACAACCTACAACACAGTCAACACCCTACAACACAGTCAACACCTACAACACAGTCAACACCCTACAACACAGTCAACACCCTACAACACAGTCAACACCCTACAACACAGTCAACAACCTACAGTACAGTCAACAACCTACAGTACAGTCAACAACCTACAACACAGTCAACAACCTACAACACAGTCAACACCCTACAACACAGTCAACACCCTACAACACAGTCAACACCCTACAACACAGAACATATGTTCAGAAAGGACAAGCACACAGTCCCAGTTAGCCCACTTACCGATCAGCATCTATCTTCGATCCTATTAGGAAACTGGTGGGAAAAGAGAAGAGGAATCCAAGTCAAAATAATTATGTTTCTAGAACGTTACATTATACTGTCCTCTGCCGCGTTGCACCCCCCCACCCCACTGTCCTTACGATGGGTGTATGAGGTGTAGATCGCTGCTGTCCTCCTCAGTTTTGGGTTCTTTGGCGCAGTAGATCTTTCCGTAGACCAGAGGGTCTCCCACCGACTGGAAGATGGACACTTTGGTCCTCTGGGCTTTTCCCCCAACCTCACACTCAAACGTATAGTCATCTATCACTTCCTGTTATGGGGAAGAGAACAGGTGTGACACCAGGAAGTTAAAAGAGACACCTTGGTCCTATGGGCCTGCCCCCCCCCCACCTCACACTCAAACATATAGTAATCTATCACTTCCTGATAGGGTGAGACACCAGGAAGTGAGAAGAGAAACCTTGGTCCTCTGGGACCATTTTGATCTAAGCTGGCAGGAAATGCACAGATCTTCTGTGCTAAAAGGGTATTTCTAGCAGCTTGCTGTGAGCTTTGAGATGATGTCAGTGTTTAGTTAGTTAGTGGCTCTGTAACAGGGGAAGATAAAGAGTGTGACACCAGGAAGCTACAAGTCTTACCTCTGCAGGCCAGACAGTGGGCTGAGATTCCTCCAGCTTCACTGACCTCTCTACCACAGCATATTTATCCACCTGGAAATACAGAGAGTCTGTGTTTGAAGACTAAACGGTCCATATCAGGGTTGGGCGAAATTCCAATTGAAGTCAGTCCATTCAATAAGTAAACTGAAATTCCAATTCAATAATTTAAAAAAAGGGAATCAATTTTCTATGACTTCTCAATAAACTGAAAAAGAAGAAGGTATTTATGTCAAAAGTTTTTCCATTTGGGGATTTTAAATTCAAATCACTTCCTGAATTGACTGACTTCAATTGGCATTGAGTCCAAACCCTGGTCCATATCTCAAGAGTACCAGTCACTTGACTGACAACGGCCGCTTCATGACAGACAGGTAAGGGGTGTTTGAGAAGGAGAGAGAGACTTACATCAATCTCCTTGGGGACAGTGAGCTGGCAGATGCTCTGCTTCCACATGTCCACACACTGAGGAAGGGAGAGAAGAGTGGACAGAGATCAGTCTGAACAAATGTGTGTTAGCATGGTCTATCTAGGAGGTGTTAGCATGGTCTACCTAGAGGTGTTAGCATGGTCTACCTAGAGGTGTTAGCATGGTCTACCTAGAGGTGTTAGCATGGTCTATCTTGAGGTGTTAGCATGGTCTACCTAGAGGTGTTAGCATGGTCTATCTAGAGGTGTTAGCATGGTCTATCTAGAGGGTGTTAGCATGGTCTATCTAGAGGTGTTAGCATGGTCTATCTTAGAGGTGTTAGCATGGTCTATCTAGAGGTGTAGCATGGTCTATCTAGGGGGTGTTAGCATGGTCTACCTAGAGGTGTTAGCATGGTCTATCTAGAGGTGTTAGCATGGTCTACCTAGAGGTGTTAGCATGCTCTATCTAAAGGTGTTAGCATGGCCTATCTAGAGGTGTTAGCATGGTCTATCTAGAGGTGTTAGCATGGTCTATCTAGAGGTGTTAGCATGGTCTATCTAGAGGTGTTAGCATGGTCTATCTAGGAGGTGTTAGCATGGTCTATCTAGAGGTGTTAGCATGGTCTATCTAGAGGTGTTAGCATGGTCTATCTAGAGGTGTTAGCATGGTCTATCTAGAGGTGTTAGCATGGTCTATCTAGAGGTGTTAGCATGGTCTATCTAGGAGGTGTTAGCATGGTCTATCTAGAGGTGTTAGCATGGTCTACTAGAGGTGTTAGCATGGTCTATCTAGAGGTGTAGCATGGTCTATCTAGAGGTGTTAGCATGGTCTATCTAGAGGTGTTAGCATGGTCTATCTAGAGGTGTTAGCATGGTCTATCTAGAGGTGTTAGCATGGTCTATCTAGAGGTGTTAGCATGGTCTATCTAGAGGTGTTAGCATGGTCTATCTAGAGGTGTTAGCATGGTCTATCTAGAGGTGTTAGCATGGTCTATCTAGAGGTGTTAGCATGGTCTATCTAGAGGTGTTAGCATGGTCTATCTAGAGGTGTTAGCATGGTCTATCTAGAGGTGTTAGCATGGTCTATCTAGAGGTGTTAGCATGGTCTATCTAGAGGTGTTAGCATGGTCTATCTAGAGGTGTTAGCATGGTCTATCTAGAGGTGTTAGCATGGTCTATCTAGAGGTGTTAGCATGGTCTATCTAGAGGTGTTAGCATGGTCTATCTAGAGGTGTTAGCATGGTCTATCTAGAGGTGTTAGCATGGTCTATCTAGAGGTGTTAGCATGGTCTATCTAGAGGTGTTAGCATGGTCTATCTAGAGGTGTTAGCATGGTCTATCTAGAGGTGTTAGCATGGTCTATCTAAAGGTGTTAGCATGCAGAGAGTAAGGTGAACTCACGTTTCCGGCCTTGGAGATCTTAAGATCTATCGAGGGGGCAGGCTTCCTCTCCTTCCTCCTCTGCAGGTAGTCATAGAGACGCAGCTGGGGGGGCACGGGCAGGTAAGACAGCTCCTGCTGACGGTTCAACGCCGCCCGAGAGTGACGTTTAAAACAACTACGGAGAGAGGAGAAACAGGTTAGTGTGGCTCTGGTAGAACAGCTGGAGATCAGGGAAGCATAATAGTGTGTGAAGGTGTGTGTGTGTGTGTGTTTGTAGGTGACTGTGTGTGTCGATGTGTGTGTGTGTGTGTGTGTGTGTTGTGTGTGTGTTGTGTGTGTCGATGTGTGTGTGTTTGCAGGTGACTGTGTATGTCAGTGTGTGTTGTGTGTGTGTGTGTGTGTGTCGATGTGTGTGTGTTTGCAGGTGACTGTGTATGTCAGTGTGTGTTGTGTGTGTGTGTGTGTGTGTGCGTGTGCCTGCGTCTCTGCGTGTCTGTGTGTTTGTAGGTCTCTGTGTGTGTGTGTCTGCGTCTCTGCGAGCATGCGTGTGTGTGTGTGTGTGTGTCTCTCTGTGTGTACCGTTTCATAGAGTGAGTGTTCATCTTCTGCTTGTTGTAGAGCAGGCGGTTGGCTGTACAGGTGACAGAGACAGATGGATCCAGACACAGAGGATCAGCTGTGGCCAGCAGTAACTGGCTCTCCAACTGGAACTTGTCATCCTGGAGGGGGGAGAACAGAGGAGAGGAGGGAGAGAGAAGGGGATAAATGAAGAGGGTAGAGGCAGGAGGTGATAAAGGAGGAGAATGCAAGAAGGGAAGGAGAAAGGAGGACAGGAGAAAAGAGGAGAGTATTCTATACTTCTTGTTGGTGTGTTCAGGTTTCATTGGTAACTCACCTGAGTCCATTTGTGGTGGTCACTGGTCATGGCGTGGACGTCACAGATCAGTGTCTGGGGAGGTCAAAGGTCAGAATTTAGTATCAACGTTCCAATACGTAACGATCGAAGGCTATTTTGAAATAAAATGTCTGCACATCATTCTGATAGCATATCACCACCACTTTTGTCCACTCTAACATAGAAACCAACTGCTCTATCTCTTGTATTTCTATGGTTCTAGAAAGCAGTGCTAGTTCCTACCTGCATGGTGTCTGTTCTCTCTTGTATTTATATGGTTCTCAAATCAAATCGTATTTGTCACATGCGCTGAATACAACAGGTGTACACCTTACAGTGAAATGCTTACTTACAAGCCCTTAACCAACAATACAGTTTTAAGACAAATATGTGTTAAGTAAAAAATAGATAACTAAAAATAATAAAAATAAGCAAATAATTAAAGAGCAGCAGTAAAATAAAATAACAGTAGGGAGGCTATATACAGGGGGTTCCGGTGCAGAGTAGAGTTAAAGTGACTATGCATAGATAATAAACAGAGTAGCAGCAGCGTAAAAGAGGAGGGGGTGGGGTGGGGGGGACAATGCAAATAGTCCGGGTTAGCCATGATTAGCTGTTCAGGAGTCTTATGGCTTGGGGGTAGAAGCTGTTAAGAAGCCGTTTGGACCTAGACTTGGCGCTCCGGTACCGCTTGCCGTTCGGTAGCAGAGAGAACAGTCTATGACTAGGGTGACTGGAGAATTTTTAGGGCCTTCCTCTGAAACCGCCTGGTATAGAGGTCCTGGATGGCAGGAAGCTTGGCCCCAGTGATATACTGGGCCGTACGCACTACCCTCTGGGAGAGGTTGTTGTCCTGGCACCACACGGCCAGGTCTCTGACCTCCTCCCTATAGGCTGTCTCATCGTTGTTGGTGATCAGGCCTACCACTGTTGTGTCGTCGGAAAACATAATGATGGTGTTGGAGTCGTGCCTGACCATGCAGTCATGGGTGAACAGGGAGTACAGGAGGGGACTGAGCACGCACCCCTGAGGGGCCCCGTGTTGAGGATCAGCGTGGCGGATGTGTTGTTACCTACCCTTACCACCTGGGGGCAGCCCGTCAGGAAGTCCAGGATCCAGTTTCAGAGGGAGGTGTTTAGTCCCAGGGTCCTTAGCTTAGTGATGAGCTTTGAGGGCACTATGGTGTTGAACGCTGAGCTGTAGTCAATGAATAGCATTCTCACATATGTGTTCCTCTTGTCCAGGTGGGAAAGGGCAGTGTGGCGTGCAATAGAGATTACATCATCTGTGGATCTGTTGGGGCGGTATGCAAATTGGAGCGGGTCTAGGGTTTCTGGGATAATGGTGTTGATGTGAGCAATGACCAGCCTTTCAAAGCACTTCATGGCTACAGACGTGAGTGCTACGGTTCGGTAGTCATTTAGGCAGGTTATCTTAGTGTTCTTGGGCACAGGGAATATGGTGGTCTGCTTGAAACTTGTTGGTATTACAGACTCAGTCAGGGACATGTTGAAAATGTCAGTGAAGACACTTGCCAGTTGGTCAGCGCATGCTCGGAGTACACGCCCTGGTAATCTGTCTGGCCCTGTGAATGTTGACCTGCTTTAAAGTCTTACTCACATCGGCTACGGAGAGCGTGATCACATAGTCATCCGGAACAGCTGATGCTCTCATGCATGCTTCAGTGTTGCTTGCCTCGAAGCGAGCATAGAAGTGATTTAGCTTGTCTGGTAGGCTTGTGTCACTTGGCAGCTCGCGGCTGTGCTTCCCTTTGTAGTCTGTAATAGTTTGCAAGCCCTGCCACATCCGATGAGCGTCAGAGCCGGTGTAGTACGATTCAATTTTAGTCCTGTATTGACTCTTTGCCTGTTTGATGGTTCGTCAGAGGGCATAGCGGGATTTCTTATAAGCGTCCGGGTTAAGAGTCCCGCTCCTTGAAAGCGGCAGCTCTACCCTTTAGCTCAGTGCGGATGTTGCCTGTAATCCATGGCTTCTGGTTGGGGTATGTACGTACAGTCACTGTGGGGATGACATCATCGATGCACTTATTGATGAAGCCAGTGACTGATGTGGTGTACTCCTCAATGCTATCTGAAGAATCCCGGAACATATTCCAGTCTGTGCTAGCAAAACAGTCCTGTAGCTTAGCATCTGCTTCATCTCACCACTTCCTTATTAACCGAGTCACGGGTGCTTCCTGCTTTAGTTTTTGATTATAAGCAGGAATCAGGAGGATAGAGTTATGGTCAGATTTGCCAAATGGAGGGCGAGGGAGAGCTTTGTATGCGTCTCTGTGTGTGGAGTAAAGGTGGTCTAGAGTTTTTTCCCGTCTGGTTGCACATTTAACATGCTGGTAGAAATGAGGTAGAACGGATTTAAGTTTCCCTGCATTAAAGTACCCGGCCGCTAGGAGCGCTGCCTCTGGATGAGCGTTTTCCTGTTCACTTATGGCCTTATACAGCTCATTGAGTGCGGTCTTAGCGCCAGCATCGGTTTGTGGTGATAAATAGACAGCTACAAAAAATATAGATGAAAACTCTCTTGGTAAATAGTGTGGTCTACAGCTTATCATGAGATACTCTACCTCAGGCGAGCAAAACATTGAGACTTCCTTAGTATTAGATTTCATGCACCAGCTGTTGTTTACAAATATACACAGACCGCCACCCCTTGTCTTACCGGAGTCAGCCTTTCTATCCTGCCGATGTAGCGTATATCCCGCCAGCTGTATGTTATCATTGTCGTCGTTCAGCCACGACTCGGTGAAACATAAGATATTACAGTTTTTAATGTCCCGTTGGTAGGATAACCGTAATCTTAGGTCGTCCAATTTATTTTCAAATGATTGAACGTTGGCTAATAGGATTGATGGGAGTGGCAGTTTACTCGCTCGCCGTCGGATCCTTACAAGGCACCCCGACCTACGTCCACGATATCTGTCTCTTTCTCATGCGAATGACTGGGATTTGGGCCTTGTCGGGTGTCTGTAGAATATCCTTCGCGTCCGACCAGTTGAAGAAAAAATCTTCGTCCAGTACGAGGTGAGAAAATGCTGTCCTGATATCCAGAAGCTCTTTTTGGTTGTAAGAGACGGTGGCAGAAACATTATGAACAGAATAAATTACAAATAAAGGCGAAAAAACACACATAATAGTACAATTGGTTAGAGAGCTGTAAAGCGGCAGCCATCTCCTCTAGAAAGCAGTGCTAGTTCCTACCTGCATGGTGGGCCGTAGCAGGACGTGTCTGCTCTGGAAGGAGGGCATCTTAGTGTTGCCAGACTGTCTGTAGTCTCTGACCTCTGCTACCACACAGCCACAGTGGAAGATGTTCACCTGGACAAGGAGTCAGAGAGGGACAAGGAGTCAGAGGGACAAGGAGAAAGAGAGGGACAAGGAGGCAGAGAGAGACAAGGAGGCAGAGATGGACAAGGAGGCAGAGAGACAAGGAGATAGAGAGGGACAAGGAGACAGAGAGTTAGAGAGGGACAAGGAGACAGAGAGACAGGGAGACAGAGAGACAGGGAGTTAGAGAGGGACAAGGAGTTAGAGAGGGACAAGGAGATAGAGAGACAGGGAGTTAGAGAGGGACAAGGAGACAGAGAGACAGGGAGTTAGAGGGGGACAAGGAGATAGAGAGACAGGGAGTTAGAGAGGGACAAGGAGGCAGAGAGACAGGGAGTTAGAGAGGGACAAGGAGATAGAGAGACAGGGAGACAGGGAGTTAGAGAGGGACAAGGAGATAGAGAGACAGGGAGTTAGAGAGGGACAAGGAGCCAGAGAGACAGGGAGTTAGAGGGGGACAAGGAGATAGAGAGACAGGGAGTTAGAGGGGGACAAGGAGGCAGAGAGACAAGGAGATAGAGAGACAGGGAGTTAGAGAGGGACAATGAGATAGAGAGACAGGGAGTTAGAGAGGGACAAGGAGATAGAGAGACAGGGAGTTAGAGAGGGACAAGGAGATAGAGAGACCGGGAGTTAGAGAGGGACAAGGAGATAGAGAGACAGGGAGTTAGAGAGGGACAAGGAGATAGAGACAGGGAGTTAGAGAGGGACAAGGAGATAGAGAGACAGGGAGTTAGAGAGGGACAAGGAGTCAGAGAGGGACAATGAGTCAGAGAGGGACAAGGAGAAAGAGAGGGACAAGGAGTCAGAGAGGGACAAGGAGTCAGAGAGGGACAAGGAGGCAGAGAGGGACAAGGAGGCAGAGAGGGACAAGGAGTCAGAGAGGGACAAGGAGTCAGAGAGGGACAAGGAGTCAGAGGGACAAGGAGAAAGAGAGAGACAAGGAGGCAGAGAGGGACAAGGAGATAGAGAGGGACAAGGAGGCAGAGAGGGACAAGGAGGCAGAGAGGGACAAGGAGGCAGAGAGGGACAAGGAGGCAGAGAGGGACAAGGAGGCAGAGAGGGACAAGGAGGCAGAGAGGGACAAGGAGAAAGAGAGGGACAAGGAGAAAGAGAGGGACAAGGAGGCAGAGAGGGACAAGGAGCCAGAGAGGGACAAGGAGCCAGAGAGACAGAGGGAACACACAAACAAATACACACACAATCACACACACACCTGGGACTTCTCCAAGAGATCCACCAGGATAGGAGGAAGCTCCTCAGCATCCAGGTACTCCAACAGCTGTCCTTCCTCATACGGCAGACGGATCGTCTCAGAGTCTACAGAGAGAGGGGGGAGAGAGAAAGAGGCATTGTCACCATTACGCAGTTGAATAGTCTATCAAACAAAGCCATATTGTTACTACTACAGTTCTGTAGAAAATAAACACTTACTACTACAGTTCTGTAGAAAATAAACACTTACTACTACAGCTCTGTAGAAAATAAACACTTACTACTACAGTTCTGTAGAAAATAAACACTTACTACTACAGTTCTGTAGAAAATAAACACTTACTACTACAGTTCTGTAGAAAATAAACACTTACTACTACAGTTCTGTAGAAAATAAACACTTACTACTACAGTTCTGTAGAAAATAAACACTTACTACTACAGTTCTGTAGAAAATAAACACTTACTACTACAGTTCTGTAGAAAATAAACACTTACTACTACAGCTCTGTAGAAAATAAACACTTACTACTACAGTTCTGTAGAAAATAAACACTTACTACTACAGTTCTGTAGAAAATAAACACTTACTACTACAGTTCTGTAGAAAATAAACACTTACTACTACAGCTCTGTAGAAAACGGTCCACTAGACTAACAGAACCATACTAGATACAGTACTACAATACTAGCTACATAGCAGTGATATATGCAGGACAGCGTTTACCTTGGACCTCTTGGGGTTTTTAAGCCGAGTATTTTTACTAAATGTTGCATGACAAATATCTTAATTGTGAATGTTTGATAAATTGATAAGACTGATTAAATCGATAGGGTGATAGATAAAAGTGATTGATTGACAGCGGTCTCTCACCAGATCCATTCTTGCCGCGGAGCATGAGGGAGTATCCCTGGTTGCCGGGGTAGAGGTTGACAACCAGACACGACACTGACTCCTGACACATCAGCTTCTCCAGCAGGTTCACATTCCTACGCAGCTTCTACACATAACAATAAATCAATAAACAATCAATCGTCCGAGCTTATCAATAATGATTAATTCACATTCCTACGCTGCTTCTGAAGTGAACTTGTCCAATAAGAACCCTGGCTTTCGTTTTCTGTTACAAAACATTTTGCTACGGTGTACCCTAATGAACACAAGCTACAGGTCAATGGGTCCAATGATTAGGTCTGTCAAATGCTTTCTATACAACCTACTCAGACTTCTATTGGTTACCTTGAGCTCTGGTTCCTTCTCACACTCTTCGATGTAGAGCTCGTATAGTTTCTGGTATAAACTCTTCCTCCCTCCGGATGAGGCTCTCCTCTTGGCTGGCCGTTGACGAGCACTTTCAACAATGTACTGAAGAAGAGGAAATACATCAGCGTTGGAGCTATATGCATGAACACCTACAGATACACACACACACACACACACAAGCATACACACATAGACAAACAGACACACACACTTGAATCACCTTGTTCGTGTAGAAGAAATAGAAAAAGTCTTACCTCAGCCCTATCCAATGCATATTCCAAAACTTGTTGCTGCAAAAAGAACATTTGGCATCCATTACTGTAGTCTTTGTCACTAGGCTTTATTGGGCAATGGATAAATTATTTATACTACTGATCAAAACAGCTTTATAATGTCTTTCCTACTACTGTAATTTGCCCGTGGTCACACACTTCACAATGGAAACAGAACAGTCAACACATGCACACAGATATAGGGTGGGCAAGATCAGAGATCTTGCCCACCCTATCCGCACACAGAGAGATCAGAGATGAATGGATAGATGGATGGGTAGATGGCTGATAGAGGGATGGATAGACAGATAGATAGAAGGATAGAGGGATAGATAGAGTGGTAGATAGTCGGATAAAGGGATGCATGGACGGATAGAGGAATGGATAGACAGATAGAGGGATTGGTGGATAGGGGGTTGGCGGGAGGGATGCTTACCATTGTGGTCTGCCACCGGTAGCTGGGTGAGTGATGGTCAGCTGCAGACGTAGCTGTCCTTAGCCCCACACCGTTACCTCCATACAGCGACCATTCAAACCCTGCACACACACGGCCCGGGTCAAACCTAGTCTACACAGTCAACAAGGCACCGACCGTTTGAGCGGGTTGGTTAGCAATACTGGCCAGGTAAGTGCTAGCTAGCGGTTTGGTTAGCAATACTGGCCAGGTAAGTGCTAGCTAGCGGGTTGGTTAACAATACTGGCCAGGTAAGTGCTAGCTAGCGGCTTGGTTAGCAATACTGGCCAGGTAAGTGTTAGCTAGCGGGTTGGTTAGCAATACTGGTCAGGTAAGTGCTAGCTAGCGGGTTGGTTAGCAATACTGCCCAGGTAAGTGCTAGCTAGTGGGTTGGTTAACAATACTGGCCAGGTAAGCGCTAGCTAGCGGGTTGGTTAGCAATACTGCCCAGGTAAGTGCTAGCTAGCTAACTGCTAAGTAATATATACTTTTGATCGTATGGCGATTTCGCAAATAATCAACAAATGATGCACAATATATATGGCTGTACAATATCACCCAGTTTCTATCCATACACTTTGATGGAACAGCGTTGTTTTCAATTAAACCCAGTTAACTTGATGCTAGCGTTATGCTCACAGGCAAGCGATTGGTTCACAGCAACAAGCTCGCTTGCTGGCTAGCTAGCAGGCTAACGTTAGCATCGCTAGCTTGCTTCTTGGGAAGCTGCCAAAGTTAGCTATCAATACAACAGCTGAGACACAAACGCATAAAGCAGCTTCAATCTTAAACATTAGGATGGACTTGCCTTATGATTTGCATTATTATAGATCGTAACTCCAATGCAAAAAAATAGCTATTATTTCAGTGCCTTCATTGAAAAAAAACTCACAGCAGCTGCCATTTTCTTCCAGTGTGACAACAAAAGCTAAACTTCCGGTAAGGGTAGTGGGCGGAACCAAAAGTCTTCCTTGAACTGAAAATGCTTTGGGATGCTCTCCTGTGTAACATTTTAATTCAGGAGTTACTTTGATAGATAATATACAACATATTTCGTAACCTAATGACTGTTTTGTATTACAATAAGATAAACATATTGGTTGATATATTGTGACATTTTATTTAGCTACCACAGGGGGTACTTGAGAAGACTCATCAGACCATAGGCCAGTGGAGGCTTCTGAGGGGAGGACGGCTCATAATAATATCTGGAATGGAGTCAATGGAGTGGTATCAACCACATGGAAACCACGTCTTTGATGTGTTTGATATCATTCCATTGACTCCATTCCAGCCATTATTATGAGCCGTCCTCCCCTCCGAAGCCTCCACTGGCACAGGCCTACTGGTAAAATGCACATGAGGGTGTACTTCAGGGGTACTCCAGCAGAGAAAAATTCAGTTGATGGTACAGTAACCAAAAAAGGTTGGGAACAACTGGTATAGACTGATAGGCCTATTCAGTTATCAATAGTTTAGGACTATATCATATCTATTCTACAAGCCCGGAAATCTGCCCCTTTTATTCTTTCTACCCAACGCACTAGAAGACCAGTTCTTAAAGCCTTTAGCCGTATCCTTATTCTATTCCTCCTCTGTTCCTTTGGTGATGTAGAGGTTAACCCAGGCCCTGTAGCCCCCAGTATCACTCCTACTCCCCAGGCGCTATCATTTGTTGACTTCTGTAACCGTAAAAGCCTTGGTTTCTTGCATGTTAACATCAGAAGCCTCCTCCCCAAGTTTGAGTTATTCACTGCGTTAGCACACTCAGCCAACCCTGATGTTCTAGCAGTGTCTGAATCCTGGCTTAGGAAGGCCACCAAAAATGCAGAAATGTCCATCCCGAATTACAACATTTTCCGTCTAGATAGAACTGCCAAAGGGGGCGGAGTTGCAATCTACTGTAGAGAAAGCCTGCAGAGCTCTATCATACTATCCAGGTCTGTGCCCAAACAGTTTGAGCTTCTACTTCTAAAAATCCACCTTTCCAGAAATAAGTCTCTCACTGTTGCCGCTTGCTACAGACCCCTCTCAGCCCCCAGTTGTGCCCTGGACACCATATGTGAATTGCTTGCCCCCCATCTATCCTCAGAGTTCGTACTGCTTGGTGACCTAAACTGGGATATGCTTAACACCCGTCCTACAATCTAAACTGGATGCCCTCAATCTCACACAAATTATCAAGGAACCTACCAGGTAAAACCCTAAATCCGTAAACATGGGCACCCTCATAGATATCATCCTGACTAATTTAACCTCTAAATACACCTCCGCTGTCTTCAACCAGGATCTCAGCGATCACTGCCTCATTGCCTGCGTCCGTAATGGGTCCGCGGTCAAACGACCACCCCTCATCACTGTCAAACGCTCCCTAAAACACTTCAGCGAGCAGGCCTTTCTAATTGACCTGGCCCATGTATCCTGGATGGATATTGACCTCATTCTGTCAGCAGAGGATGCCTGGATGTTCTACAAAAGTGCTTTCCTCTCCATCTTAAATAAGCATTCCCCATTCAAAAAATTCAGAACTAAGAACAGATTCAGCCCCTGGTTCACCCCAGACTTGACTGCCCTTGACCAGCACAAAAACATCCTGTGGCGTACTGAATTAGCATCGAACAGCCCCCACGATATGCAACTTTTCAGGGAAGTCAGGAACCAATATACACAATCAGTTAGGAAAGCAAAGGCTAGCTTTTTCAAACAGAAATTTGCATTCTGTAGCACTAACTCCAAAAAGTTTTGGGACACTGTAAAGTCCATGGAGAATAAGAGCACCTCCTCCCAGCTACCCACTGCACTGAGGCTAGGAAACACTGTCACCACCGATAAATCTACGATAATCGAGAATTTCTATAAGCATTTTGCTACGGCTGGCCATGCTTTCCACCTGGCTAGCCCTACCCGGCCACCAGCTCTGCACCCTCCGCTGCAACTTGCCCATGCCCCCACCCCCCCCGATTCTCCTTCACCCAAATTCAGATAGCTGATGTCCTGAAAGAGCTGCAAAATCTGGACCCCTACAAATCAGCTGGGCTAGACAATCTGGACCCTTTCTTTCTAAAATTAGCAGCCGAAATTTTCGCAACCCCTATAACTAGCCTGTTCAACCTCTCTTTCGTATCGTCTGAGATCCCCAGAGATTGGAAAGCTGCCGCAGTCATCCCCCTCTTCAAAGGGGGTGACACTCTAGATCCAAACTGTTACAGACCTATATCCATCCTGCCCTGCCTTTCGAAAGTATTTGAAAGCCAAGTTAACAAACAAATCACCAACCATTTCGAATCCCACCGTACCTTCTCCGCTATGCAATCTGGTTTCCGAGCTGGTCATGGGTGCACCTCATCCACGCTCAAAGTCCTAAACGATATAATAACCGCAATCGATAAAAGACAGTACTGTGCAGCCATCTTTATCGACCTGACCAAGGCTTTTGACTCTGTCAATCACTGCATTCTTATTAGCAGACTAAATAGCCTTGGTTTCTCAACTACTTCTCAGATAGAGTTCAACGTGTCAAATCGGAGGGCCTGTTGTCTGGACCTATGGCAGTCTCTATGGGGGTGCCACAGGGTTCAATTCTCGGGCCGACTCTATTCTCTGTGTATATCAATGATGTCGCTCTTGTTGCTGGTGACTCTCAGATCCACCTCTACGCAGACGACACCATTTTGTATACATTACATTTACATTTACATTTTCGTCATTTAGCAGACGCTCTTATCCAGAGCGACTTACAAATTGGTGCATTCACCTTATGACAGCCAGTGGGACAACCACTTTACATTATTATTATTATATTTTTTTTGGGGGGGTGGGTTAAGGGAGGGGTAGAAGGATTACTTTATCCTATCCCAGGTATTCCTTAAAGAGGTGGGGTTTCAAGTGTCTCCGGAAGGTGGTGAGTGACTCCGCTGTCCTGGCGTCGTGAGGGAGCTTGTTCCACCATTGGGGTGCCAGAGCAGCGAACAGTTTTGACTGGGCTGAGCGGGAACTGTGCTTCCGCAGAGGTAGGGGAGCAAGCAGGCCAGAGGTGGATGAACGCAATGCCCTCGTTTGGGTGTAGGGACTGATCAGAGCCTGAAGGTACGGAGGTGCCATTCCCCTCACAGCTCCATAGGCAAGCACCATGGTCTTGTAGCAGATGTGAGCTTTAACTGGAAGCCAGTGGAGTGTGCGGAGGAGCGGGGTGACGTGAGAGAACTTGGGAAGGTTGAACACCAGACGGGCTGCGGCATCCTGGATGAGTTGTAGGGGTTTAATGGCACAGGCAGGGAGCCCAGCCAACAGCGAGTTGCAGTAATCCAGACGGGAGATGACAAGTGCCTGGATTAGGACATGTGCCGCTTCCTGTGTAAGGCAGGGTCGTACTCTGCGAATGTTGTAGAGCATGAACCTACAGGATCGGGTCACCGCCTTGATGTTAGCAGAGAACGACAGGGTGTTGTCCAGGGTCACGCCAAGGCTCTTTGCACTCTGGGAGGAGGACACAACGGAGTTGTCAACCGTGATGGCGAGATCATGGAACGGGCAGTCCTTCCCCGGGAGGAAGAGCAGCTCCGTCTTGCCGAGGTTCAGCTTGAGGTGGTGATCCGTCATCCACACGGATATGTCTGCCAGACATGCAGAGATGCGATTCGCCACCTGGTTATCAGAAGGGGGAAAGGAGAAGATGAATTGTGTGTCGTCTGCGTAGCAATGATAGGAGAGGCCATGTGAGGATATGACAGAGCCAAGTTACTTGGTGTATAGCGAGAATAGGAGAGGGCCTAGAACTGAGCCCTGGGGGACACCAGTGGTGAGAGCACGTGGTGCGGAGACAGATTCTCGCCACGCCACCTGGTAGGAGCGACTTGTCAGGTAGGACGCAATCCAAGAGTGAGCCGCGCCGGAGATGCCCAACTCGGAGAGGGTGGAGAGGAGGATCTGATGGTTCACAGTATCAAAGGCAGCAGATAGGTCTAGAAGGACGAGAGCAGAGGAGAGAGAGTTAGCTTTAGCAGTGCGGAGAGCCTCCGTGACACAGAAAAGAGCAGTCTCAGTTGAATGACCAGTCTTGAAACCTGACTGGTTTGGATTAAGAAGCTCATTCTGAGAGAGATAGCAAGAGAGTTGGCTAAAGACGGCACGCTCAATAGTTTGAGAGAAAAGAAAGAAGGGATACTGGTCTGTAGTTGTTGACATCGGAGGGATCGAGTGTAGGTTTTTTGAGAAGGGGTGCAACTCTCGCTTTCTTGAAGATGGAAGGGACATAGCCAGCGGTCAAGGATGAGTTGATGAGCGAGGTGAGGTAAGGGAGAAGGTCTTCGGAAATGGTCTGGAGAAGAGAGGAGGGGATAGGGTCAAGCGGGCAGGTTGTTGGGCGGCCGGCCGTCACAAGTCGCAAGATTTCATCTGGAGAGAGAGGGATGAAAGAAGTCAAAGCATAGGGTAGGGCAGTGTGAGCAGGACCAGCGGTGTCATTTGACTTAACAAACGAGGATCGGATGTCGTCAACCTTCTTTTCAAAATGGTTGACGAAGTCATCCACAGAGAGGGGGGGAGGAGGATTCAGCAGGGAGGAGAAGGTGGCAAAGATCTCCCTAGAGTTAGAGGCAGATGCTTGGAATTTTTAATGGTAGAAAGTGGCTTTAGCAGCAGAAACAGAGGAAGAAAATGTAGAGAGGAGGGAGTGAAAAGATACCAGGTTCGCAGGCAGTCTAGTTTCCTCCATTTCCGCTTGGCTGCCCGGAGCCCTGTTCTGTGATCTCGCAATGAGTCGTCAAGCCACGGAGCAGGAGGGGAGGACCGAGCCGGCCGGGAGGATAGGGGACATAGAGAGTCAAAGGATGCAGAAAGGGAGGAGAGGAGGGTTGAGGAGGCAGAATCAGGAGATTGGAGGGAGAAGGATGAGCAGAGGGAAGAGATGATATGATGGAAGATGAGAGAGTAGCAGGAGAGAGAGAGCGAAGGTTGCGACGGCGC